CAGAGCAGTTTTTTTGACTAATTTTGACTAATTTTCGGGCACATTTAAATGCTTGAAATCTATGACTTAATTATGAAATCCAGAGCAGTTTTCAAGAACTGTCACTACTCACTCGAGTACAAGACGCCATGCACCCGGATAATTCTTAGTTTTCAAGAACTGTCAGTTTTTTTAATCTTTCTAAAATAGGTTGTTGTTCTACTTCATGTAATCATCACGACTGTTGAATTCTCCTAATTAACTATGTAAGGTGTCATCTGCTGTCATATGCATTACATCCATGTAACATTTGCAATCCCTTAATTAACTATAGGATCAAAGCATATCCCTATGTTTCCATCAATTTAGAGTTTTAAGTTTTGAAGAAATCTAGGATCACATATTTTTATATCTCGAAATCTTGACCACCTTGAGGGTCCCTGGTATTTTTCACACAAAATATGATATTTGGCTTCGATAGATCTCAATTTTCTACACAAAAAGCGTATATAATTTGTCGAATTCTGATAATTAGAGCAAAAGTTATGGCCGTTTGATGTTTTGCAAAAATATAGGCTCACAAATTTTTGCATCACCAAATCTGGACTACCTTGAGGGCCCCAAGGACTTTTCTCACAAAATATTGGTCTGGGTTCAATAGATATTACTTTTCTGCACAAAAAGCATGTATAATTTGTCCAATTCCGATAACTAGAGCAGAAGTGATGGCCGTTTGAAGTTTTGCAAAAATCTAGGCTCACAAATTTTTGTATCTCCAAATCTGGACCACCTTTAGGGAACCAGGTATTTTTCACACAAATTATGGGGTTTGGGTTCAATAGATCTCACCTTTCTTCACAAAAACATATATAATTTGTCCAATTTTGATTACCAGAGCAAAAGTTATGGCCGTTTGAAGTTATGCAAAAATCTAGGGTCACAAATTTTTGTATCTCCAAATCTTGACCACCTTGAGGGCCCATGGTATTTTTCACACAAAATATGGGGTCTAGGTTGGATAGATCTCACTTTTCTACACAAAAAGCATATATAATTTGTCCAATTCTGATAACCAGAGCAAAAGCTATGGCCGTTTGAAGTTTTGCAAAACTCTAGGGTCACAAATTTTTTTATCTCCAAATCTGGACCACCTTGAGGGCCCCTGATATTTTTCACACAAAATATGGGGTCTGGGTTCGATAGATCTCAGTTTTTCTATGCAAAAAGCATATATAATTTTTCCAATTCTGATATACAGAGCAAAAGTTATGGCCGTTTGGAGTTTTACAAAAATCTAGGCTCAAAAATCTTTGCATCTCCAAATCTGGACCACCTTGTGGGCCCCTAGTATTTTTCACACAAAGTATGAGACTGTCAACGGTAGAAATTAATAGAATGATTCAAGAAGCAGAATATTACAAGGCTGAAGATGAAAAGTTCCTGAGGAAGGCCACAACAATGAATGATTTGGATTATTATATTTACAAGATTGGGAACGCCTTAAACAATGAAGATATCGTGTCAAAGCTTTGCTCCCAAGAAAAGGAGGACATCAGTTCCACAATTTCTAGGGCTAGAGATTTGCTTGATGTTGATGGTAATATCCAGCAAGATGAAATAGTTGATTTTGAGTATTGTCTGAAAGAGCTTATAAACATCTTTGAACGCCTTACGGAAATTGGCAATGTTGGGTAGTTGTTTTTCAATTGTGATAGTGTTGCTGACTTGCCGTTTTATGTGTTTTAAGTTCAAACTATTGTGTATATCTGTTTTTATCTTAAAATAGCTTAAGTTTTGGTAACATTGTAATGGATATTTTGTTTAAAATGTTACTGAGAAGAGATTTGGATTTACATGTGATGTATCCTTGGAATCGTTGAATGCTTACACTGCTTGCTCGTTTTTAAGTATACATGTGCTGCCAGCTTGAGTACCTTCCATTTTTGTCTGTTGATTTTTATAGTGTTACGCTTTGCAGGACTATAGAGATAGGTCATAGATGTGCAAATAGAAATTTAGAGTTGTTTTTATGTGGATTTCCTATTAATATTAGAGATTTTTCTTAACAATTTATATGTGCGTTTATTTTTATTTTTATTTTTTATGAAAACCTTTATCATATAAATATAACTTTAATTTTATTTAAGAAAAAACCAGCTAAAAATCGCATATAAGTTTTGTCCATGAAAAAATATTCATATTCTGAAATTAATATATATTTTTTGTGATATAAAAGTATATTTTTTTAAAATTTAAAATTGTTATTTTTTTTGTTTCTAAAGATTTGTAAATGAAATAGCTAGTGAAAATAACAGTTTTGTACAAATATTTAAAAGCATAAAACAAATTAAAAAGAGGACACCTTGTAAATTGTAATTGAAAAATAAAAATAGAAAATAGAAACAAAAATAAACATACCCTCAAGTATTTTTACCTAACGTTATCCATGTCATCTTTTTATTTTTATTTAATTAAAATATATTAGAGTAATAAAAAAATTATTTTTCCAATTCTTCTTTCCTATAAAATTAATTTTTATTTAATTTTATATTATAATATAATAAACAAGAATTGATAAAATAAAAAGTTGCAATAATTTTATTTAAATGTACATTATCTTTTATATTTATTTTTTTAGTATTCCTAAAATATTAATAAAATACTAATTATATTCAATGTATAATAGAAAAAAGAAAATTGAACTTACCTTCTTTGAGATATTTTTAAATGATACACTTCTAGTTTTCAAGTGAACACTAATCTCTATTATTTATTTATCTAAATAAGACATACAATTTCTTATATAAGATAGCATTGTGTACTATTAAGAGAAAATAAATTATTAATTCAAGTGTCATCAATCGAATCAAACTTGATCTCTTACTATACTTTAACTTTCAAATTATATCCTAAATATGATACATGTTGTGACTTAAATATATTTTTAGTCTCTAAAATTTAAGATAAATTTATTTTTAGTTCTTGAAATTTAAAATTGATCTTTTTTATTTCTTGTAATTTCAAAAATTTTATTTTAGTCCTTCTACTTAAATGGTTAGTCATATAAAATATTTCAAAAATTTTATATTTTAGTTCTTTTATTTAAATTATTAGAAAATCTGTCAAATACTATCGTATAAAATTTACTTAATAGTGTCTTTATTAGTGAAAATATCACTTTAAACTCAATTAATACTGCATAATTATCTCAATATATCACTTTTAATATGTTATTGATGACTTGAAAGATTAAAACAAGATTTTTAAAAATTACAGGAAAAAAAATAACAGTTTTAAATTTAAAAAATAATGAAAATTTTCACACAAAAAAATATTATACATAATTAAAAAAGAATATGATTGATAGAATATGAATTAATTTTTAGTTTTTAAAAATTGACTAGGTATGTTATCTAAATAGACATCGGAGAGACGAATGCAAATTTTTCTAATATTAAAAAACACAATTTTAACCATAAAAATATATTTAAAAAATGGTTTAAAAATAATAATTAATAAGTAAAGGTTCCTAAATTATTAAAAAAATAATACTATTGTGCGTAATATCTGAAATAATAATAGAATAAAATAATATTACAAGACAAGGGAATTCGACTGATAAAAATAAAAAATTATAACACTATATATACCAAATTCAATAAATAATTAATAGAAAGAAAATACTATATCAAATTAGATAAATAATAAAGTAATTTTACACTAAATAATTTTAAAAAGCTAACAAAATAATTTAAATGTATAATCTATATTGTAAAAAACAACTTATAAATTACTTATCATAACAGTGAAAAAATATCACAAAAAATAAAATATTAATTTTATAGTGAAATTAATAATTAATAATTTATATTTTAGACAACTTTTCATTTTTCAATTAAGTTAAACTAATATAAACAAATTTATTTTAAAATTATTCATTATATGCCGTATGCTTAATATTATATAATTAAAATAAAAATTCATATCATGTGTTTTATTTTTTAAATTAATAAATCTTAAAAAAATAAAATTAATTTCAAGATTTTCATTATGTTAATTGTGATTAATAATTATTCACATCGGCTTAGGCGTATAAAATGGAATTTCAGCATGTTTTAGTGTCCCCCCAAAAAAAAAAGATGGGTCATTCTTTACAAAATATCAATTAAATTTGCCAAAAAAACAAAATTACACTTACGTAATTTTGACAAATTGCACAGCACATTCAATTAAATTATCCAAATTAGGTAACAAAAAAATTAAATACAGTCAAAATACTTATAGCTGCACCGCACGTGGAAAAAACTGTTTTATAATTTTTAACTATATTAATTTTATCATTGTCAAAATTAAGAAAAAAAATAATATCATCCCCTCCTTTAATGCATGTTTACCAAATAAATAAATCAGCCTTTGTCAATCTTTAGCATATTTTAAAGGAAAACTCTATTTTATTAATTAGCTAACTTGTGGGATCATGCAATTTGCAGTATTTTAAACCTTTTAAAATAAACTTAAAGATCAAAAAGAAATACATCATATTTTAAAAAACAGGCATTTGAAAAAGTCATTGATTTTTTCTTTAGAAGGCTATAACAGTTTTCCATTGTAAAGTATTCAGTGAAAACAAAATAAAAATAATTTTTCTATATGTAAAATCAAACATTTGAATTCAAAAATATAAATTAAATTAATACCAAATATGCATAGAAATAAGAAATAATTAAAAATTCTTTAAGGCTAACTCTAAAGAATAATATTAAAAAAAATATAGAAGTACTCAAGAGGGTATATAGTAGCACATACCGTACTCGAAAAACTTGTAAGCTGTTACTTGAGCATTGAGATAGAACGATTACAGCAATAAATTAGAATTACATGGCGCTCTGTTAAAAGGTGATGCAAATTTAGAAAGAAAAAAAAATTCTAGAATAATGTAATAATGCATCCGCAGGAAAATCAGAAATATGTAGAAATGAGTCCAACCCTAGAAAGTACTATAATGGAATTTAGGACTCTTGATAGATCTTCGACATGCTTTAGTCGGTTAAGGAACTCCTCTGCTTAAAAATCATTTTTCTTATTTACAATTCCTTTGATCTAAACTGAATCACGATCCAGTCACGCACAAAACATCTAAAACAAGGTTTTCCAACTTAAACTATTTTAAGATAATACTAATTGTTTGCATTTATCAAAAAGAAAATGAGAAGCAACACAACAAAAATTACTAAACAATGATTCACCAGGACTCGAATCTTTCGAGGGAGCTCTCAAGCTCTTTCAGACAAGCCTCAAACACAGCAATGTCATACTGTTCATTCTCCTCATCAAGCAAATCAGTAGCCCTATTTATTGCAGAACGTAAGTCCTCCTTTTCTTTAGGGCGAACAATTGACCTGATACAAACCTTCTTCAAGACATTCCTGCTTATGTATACAC